TTGCTCATCACATAAAGTAGAAAACAGATACGATAAAACATGGCTTGAAAAATGACCAGAGTATGCACCTATAGTACTGTACACTAAATAAAATACACAAGGCAGCAATACTTAGGGGCCAGAAACACTGCTTACTACAAGTCAGTTATGGAATCATAATTTACAGTAAAAATGGGCACGTCCCAAGGCTCAATTTTTATTTTTCTTTTGTCATTTACAGTAGAATAAATATTTTGTTGCTATTGCTACACTTTAAATTTACATTCTAACCTATTAAATGCAGAAAGCTAGTGTAAAGCATATAGATTAAGTGTAGGTCCCATACGTATGACAGTTTGTTCAAGACTAGTAGGTTTGTTTTTGTATCTTTTTTAACTTAGTAAATGGCTAGTGGGAAAGATTTTGTGCTTGTGATCAGCTCTTAACTTCAATTTTTACATCAAAGCGTCCCTGAAAACGGTCTTTCTCACTGTACCCAATGTTCTCACCATACGCCTTACACTCTATGCGAATTTCAGTGTCCATGGTGAGGTTGGTGAACTGTACAGCCAGCAGGGGCTGCAGGTACTTGGGCTGCAGGAGTTTCCCGTAGTAGGGGTAATACTGCAGAGGAAAACCAGGGTAGTTGCCCAGTCCAAAATACTCCACGGTTCCAATTTTTTCCTTATCTTCATCTCGCTAAAAACCAGAATGAAATGCAATATTAATGGCTCACACATCACAGATCACTACTCGTGCTCACATACATACAAGGCTCTCAAGCCAACAGAGCAGTCTGCAAACTACTGTGAGAGGAAAGAACATCCACTCGGCCTAATCCACAGCAGCCTTGAGAAATGCTCATAAAAGGAGGCTATTCTCAATATACAAATGGGGAAACGGAGGCAGGGGCCAAATAAGCATTTCTCCAAGCCAACAACAGCCTCCTAGAAACAGGGCCAACATTGAAAGTCAAACTCCTTGGTGCTGGCCCACCCAGTAGATGCTATTTCTGGTGATATTATCGCCAAAGATGTAACTGTTTGCCTCTCATTTTCTCGTCCATTTCTTCCTGGTGCCAACATAAAATGGCACTGTCTGGGGATTCCCTTTCTTTATTCTGCCCTCTCTCTGTCTCTGTCTCTAAACTATCCATCAGTTTTTAGATATAAAGGGAACACGTACTGACTGTTTAATCTTTCAATATTTTAAAAAGAGAAACCCAAACCACAAATTTTTATGTCATTAATTTTAAAAAAAATGTTGGCCTCAAATTTTCAGCACTTGCTGTGGTCCAGAGAAGCATGTCTGTGAACTAGTTCACCTCTCAGTTCTATAAACAAATATTCCAATGGATTAAATTCAGATATTTGAGTTTCTGGTGCCAATGCAGACACTGACAGTTTAATTCTTACTATATCTTTCTGTCCTTCAAAGAAGTTTTACCTAGTACAGCTGAAATTCAACCTACTGAGACTAATACCTGGAAGCAATGTTTCTTGTTTCCTAAACTAAGATTTTACCTCTACTTACAAAATCTCACTCACTCCCTCCCTCTTCCCCTGCCCCACCCTCTGTAACCTTAAATGTGTCCTTACCTTGCCAGTGCACTGAACAGGCAGGACATACGGATTATACTTCATCACTGGGTAAGACTCCAAGGACTCATTCTTGGGAGGCTAAAAACAAAACTCATGTTGGTTGGTAGGATTATAAATAATTTTTTAAATTTCTAAAAATAAAACAGGTTTGTAGCCCAAACAAGTACACATTGGTCACAATAAGTCAACCAAAATAACAAAACACTTCAGGATGGCAGAATGAATGACTCCCCTAACCAGTCTAGGAAAGGGTGTGGTGGCGATTTTGTTGAAATGAAAATAAGTGCCTAAGTAACCACAATATTAAGCTGTGCTGCAGTCCAGTGCTAAAGGGAGCTTCTAATGGTGACCCATTATAAGCTTTGCTTAAGGACACTGAAAAATGAGAGCCAACCCAAAAAACAGTGCTCATTATTTGCTAAGATTGTATTACATGGGAAAGTGGATTGACATTTCTGTTTTTATAAAATTGAGGCTTTTTTCCTGAGCCAGGAATAAATAATACCATCCTTTTCCTTCAAGATTGCCTTCTTCAAGTAAGCCTTCCTTTTTTTTTTAATCTCCAGCGGGCAGGGGTCAGGGACTGCCACTGAAGGAGTTTCTTTCCAATTCTGTTAGCAAAGTCCGAGGTGTCAAAGAGGAGAAGGTGGCACTGCCCTGAAGGCAGGGCTGTCTTGAAAGAGTGCATCCACCGAAAGGACCCAGAGTCCAGACTGGAAATTACAACTGTAGTGAAATATCCAGAACCTTCCCTCCCGCATCCCTGGTTCAAATCTACCTTAGAAGAAATGTGATGAATACACATGGCAGGAAGACAGCCACTTGCTTCCGCATGTCAGCATAACATGTGAACCTTGAGATGTAACACATACATCATCTAACCGAAGTCAGATAAAATGGGCAGTTCTCTCCATCAGTAGGGAACTCACATTTTTGTACTGCTATTTTTTTTAATATAAGAAATGATTCCCTGGATTTGACTCTTTTGGAACTTTCTGCCAGCAATATATGTATCATTAAAAATAAGAGAAAATGCTTATCGATTGAAAAAAGAAGTTGCCAGAATCTATCCTCAAAGGGTAAGGAAGGCGGCACACCAAGCAAGATGCCGGGATACTGTGCTCTCTGCCAAAAATAATTCCAGTGGCTGACTCGTTGCAGGTTTGGGTGGGGACGATGAATAAGGAAGTGCAAATGGATAACCAGCAAGTGGAGACCAGAGAAAAAAGAAAAAAAGAGTTGAAAAGAGCTGAATTCATCACTTAACAGAATATCTCTGTAGACGTGGGAAGAGATATGAATAGACTGCCTCTGTGGGGTTCAAATGCCACTCAGTGTCTATGATGAGAACATCAAAATCAAGGTACTCAGCGAGCAGATATTAAGATTAGTCTTCTTGCAGCCACGCCACACCAATTCCTTTTATCGCTAAATAGCTGATTGATCTTGGTCAAGTGTTCCCTAGCAATATGAATATCAAATACATTATGGCATAATGGTTCTCACCATTTTTCTTCCATTATATCCCAGTCTAAGTGGAAAGAAGATTGAATTCTATTGAGAGGTACATTAATTTCTGCAGAAATCCATCAAGCCAGCCAGCCAGGCAACCATCCATCCACCCACTTACTCGTTTTTGCTTCTGGTAGCAAAAAAG